ACGATGAAATCTAACGAAAACAGGAAAAAATAGAGTAATTGATGACTCACCTCAGTGCCGTCGGACGGCAGACGTGTTTGGGGGATGAACCCCCCGACCCTTGCTCTGCCTCATCAGAACGAGGCTATTTCAAGCCTGCCCCCTGCTCTTGGACAGAGGGGCTCACCCCTGGTAGCTCTTAGGGCACATTAGCGGAACGTCTCGCTCCCCTTGGTGCTTAGGGCATGACGGCGGAGCCAGCCGCCTCCGCTGGCACCTTGGAAGCGAAGGTAGAGCCACCCGCCTCTGTTGGCTCCTAGGGCAGGCCGACGGTACGGTCCACCTCCGCTGGCACCATAGATGTGCCCTTCCCTCCATGGAATGGGAAGGCTGCCGACACCTACAAGGATGAGCCGACGCATGTCAGTGCGTCCTTGTTCTTCACATTGTCCGACTCGATATCGTCGGCTACCTCCATCACCTCGTCGTCGTCACCATCATCATCATCGTCATCGTCATCAGTGTCCTCCCCGCGCCTGCAACTTTCATAGCTTCTTCCTCTTCTTGTCCTCCTTCGCCTTCCTCAGCCGCTCGCCCTCAGCGTGATTCGCCGCCCTCGTGGCTGAATCCCTCGATAGCGGTGCCAGGTGATCCATGAGGATGAGGTCCCTCGGCTAGTCCCGTCCCTCTCAAAGTTAGTCTCACGGGGTCAGGAAATTAATTAAAGAGAAGGCAAGAGAAAGGGAAACTTACAAAGACAACGTAGCCTGGCTCCAGCTGCATCGGAGGATGCCCCGGCACCGGGTAGATGAAGTCGAGGGCGGCACCCACATCATCCCGCAAAGGTTCCATTGCCTCCTTGATGCGTTGCGTGATCTCAGAGTTGGGGAGCGTTCCCTCGGTGAGTGTCGTTCCATCGAACGACGCTTCGGGTGCCATCACATATAGCGGGAGCAAGCGCGTAATCAACGGCGCCACCCTCCTCGCATGGTAAGCCCCGATGACGCCCGACCCTTTCAGGCCATTCTCCTTTAGGATGTGGATGGCAGTGATGTGGTCTCGGATCTTCTTCTTGTCCTTCTCCAGGATGCCCCACTTCCTCCACTGCTCCGAGGCCTCTTCGATCAGGCGCCCAGTGAACTCCGGTAGAAGGGCGGTGGCATCATTCTTGAGGTAGAACCACTGCGAGTGCCACCCCTTGTTGGACATCGAGAGCCACATGGATGGATACTCACCAACCCGATTGTTCCGAAGTTGGATGCCGACGCACCCCATCGGCATGTGCAGCTCCTGCCTGCCGTCCTTCTCCCTCTTCTTCTAGAGGCTGACGGCAAAGAAATACCTCCACAAGTCAAAGTAGGGGCTGATCCCTAGGAATCCTTCGCACAACGCGACGATTGAGATGATGCAGCTCGATCTTGTAGAAGTGCAACATCCCCTGGAGGAATTTGTGGGTAGGGGTCGTGAGCCCATGCTCGTGGAAATGGGCGAACGACACCATGTAGCCGTGGGGCGGCGACGGTGAATCCTTGTTGCCGGGCAGCAACCACTCCTCGCCCGAGGTCCGTGTGTAGAGAAGACCATGATGGACGAGGCCCTCCATGCACTAGGAGGTGATGTCAAAACGGCACCATGGATCCATGAGAGGTGGAGGCTGATGGATGCGAGCTCAATGGCAGTGGAGGAGCAGAGGCTATGGATCTAGGGCTCCGGCGGCGGACAAGTGAGCACGGCAGATCCGAAACGGCGGCGGCGGAGAAACAGAGAATGTAAGGTTGTGGTTTTGGTGTGTAGAGACATCAAAGGGAAGGCCGCTATTTATAAGGTAAAGCGCCTAGGTTCACGTGCCCATTGTGCCACAACACGACACCTCCCTTCGAAGATCGTGCGCACGCAATCTCTAGCCGTGCCCTCAAAGGACACGCCGGATAACGATTCGCCTGATCGATAAGCCGAGAATCGTCGCAGGTAAGAGGGATATGGAGCCAAAAACGCTCCTATGACCCATCTAGGCCTAGGAGTTCGAAGGTTAGCCCACCGACGGGTTCGACAACCGCTCCGGGCCTGCTAGCGGCCAGTACCTAGGAGCACAAGCGCCGCGGGCATCCCAGCCCATGTTTGAGTCTCGGTCGGATACAATCCATGTTTTTTCCTCGAAGAAAGGTAGAGCCCTCGGGACCGGTCAAACAGACCCGAGAACTATATGAATTGATCGCTGAGAATCTAGAGTCGGTCACCAGCTGACCCAAGCCGGACCCCCATGAACGGTATGCTAGGGCCCCACTCGGACTAGCCCATTAACAGCTCACCGAGCAATATGATTCGTCCATAGAGGAAAATCATGGCACGGCTCAGCCCCTCTATTTTTATTGGAAAAAAATGCTTGAGGGGAGATGATCACAAAAATGAGCCGACCCTCGACCGGACCCCTGCTATGGGTTAGGGCTCAAGGAAAGTTGGACTCGTAAGGAGACCAAACGCGCGGTCACAGAACGACAGAACCCCGAGGGGTCCGATCACGACGAAAGGGAATCGCCGTCCCCAGGGCACACCGTGGGCGACAAAAGAAGGTCAAGGCCCTCAGAGTCCTCCCGCTCGGAAAAGCCTCCAAAGGAGCATTCTACTCCTCTACAGGCTCGGGGCTACTGTCAGAGGCTAATACTAGGGTACCCGAAGAGAAGAAGCTAATGACCATCAACATTAATTCATCTGAGTAGTCAAGAGCGAGACTACAGCTCCAACCGACCCCTAGGTGCGCGGGCTCCATCTCGCCCAACCCTGAGGCCGTGGGCTCCGCCTCGCCCGACCTCTAGGGGAGGGCTCCGCCTCGCCCGACCCCGAGGCCGCGGGCTCCTCCTCGCTTAACCCCAAGGTCGCGGCCTCCATCTCGCCCGACCCCGAGGCCGTAGGCTCTGCCTCGCCTGACCTCTAGGGGAGGGCTCCGCCTTACTCGACTCCGAGGCCATGGGCTCCGCCTTGCCCGACCCCTCGGGTGCGGGCTCTACCTCACCTGACCCCTCGGGTGAGGGCTTCGTCTCGCTCGACGGGGTCCCATACTGTCGCCGACCACTCCAGGTCTAGGCGTATGGCCCTGAGTCAAAACTCTGACACCAAGGAAGAGATCGGCAGTCCCCGATGTAACCCATGGCTATGATGAGTCATACCTGAGGGTTCACATCAAGAACAGCGTCGGGCGTGCCGGTGCTGTTCTGCCTAACCATCGTATGAATGTTGATAGGCGCGTCAGTTCATCACGACATTCGCCGGGACGGAATAGAACACCATGATCGGTAGACAACGCCTACGTATGGCGCCAGTGATGGACAGGGCCGTGACATGGAGCTGTCCCTGTTAATATCTACAGGATCGGTGGGACCTGCATGAAGAAGAAGGACCCGGCGATCCTGAAGGCCTTTCTCTCTCTCTCTCGTTCTTCTCCTTTCCCTCCGTTGTAACCCGCGCTTTCCCTTGGCCTATAAAAGGAAAAGCAGGGCACCCCATGAAGGGCACCGATCAATCAAGATCCGCACGAGATCAGAACACAAGATAAACACACAAGAACACGACACGAACACACGGCTGAGCAGTGATTGAGCTCTCAGCACTCGTTCACTTCTTTCACCAGAGATTTGGGATCCTTTCCCTCTCTCGTCCGTTTGTAACCCATACTATAAACTTTCAGTGCTAGTAACACGAGCAACAACGACGAACTGGACATAGGGACTTTCTGCCCGAACCTGTATAAACCTTGTGTCCTCTAAGCACACCATCCGAGTCAGACGCGTAATACTAGAAATTTATTCGTCGGTGGTAACTTGAAACACCGACAATGGTCATAATTTGGAGTGCGATTCACACATAAGAACACGTCGTACCCAACAACGATGTTTTGGGCTACGCCGTCGATTTTAGGTGTAGTTAGTACTAATAGCCTAGCCCAGTCTAGGGGCCGTGCCTACCTCTATTGAATCAAGCAGGTGGATCAAGGCAGATGGAGGCGGAACGAGGCAGATGCAAACGGATCGAGCAGGTGGATCAAGGGGCCATGCCGCCTCCGTCGGATCTAGGGACAGCGCCCCTGGCAACGGATGCAGGCGGCCACGCGGGGCCCTTCTTCGACGTGCGTGGCGTGGATGCGACCGGATCTAGCTACGATGATAGCGGCATCGTGCAGATTGAGCGAGCAATGGTGGCAGTGCATGGATGGGCTTGATGGGCCCATGAATGGGCTCAGGGTGGGCTTGTCCACGGTTTTTTCTAGGCGTGGTGTCCACCCGTGAAAACATCGATTAATGCAGACATTTTCTTAGAGGTGGACTCGTTGCCAGCCTGCGAAAACCCATTTGGACTGGCAAAAGATTAATGTAGTAGCGGTAAGTCGGTTGCTTTGTTTCCCTAGATGCTCTACGGGCCTTGTCCGCATGCTTCTTAAAGCAGACCGGATCCAGGTTGTGGGGAAACAAAAGCGGGCTTCGTTTTTTTTGTCTGGCTCTCTCCTTCGCTCCGTGCAATCACCCATGCCTTTGGCACGCAGCGATCGTCTCCGCTACCATGCTTGCCGAGACCTCCTCACCCTCCGTCGTCTCTGACTCTCTGGCCTCCCAGCGCTCGCCGCTGACACCACCCTCGCCCTACCCCTCCTCGGCAACGTCGACTCCTCCCCGGGCGTCAACGCCGCGACGAGGTGCGTGCTGCTGCGTCCGAGGGTTGCTTGCAGCGTGCTGGTGGGGAACGAGCTTGGCGCGAGCAACCTAAGGGTGATGGCGTTCTCAGTGCTGGTGGCGACGTCGCTGTAGGCCGGTCTTAACGTACATCCTGAGAACGAGATGCGATGGAGGTGGTCTTGATGCCGTCATCAAGCTCACCATCTTTGAGTATGTGCTGTGGCTCCGGGTCCGTCAACCTCTGCTTGGCGGCACCCTTCTCGGCGGCAGCGGTGGGAGTCCTCCTCTTCCTTCTCCTATGCCTCCGCCGCTGGCAGCATTAGAGGGTCGTGGTGTCGTCGCGGGTTTTCGAAGACGATGATGGGAGCTAACGCTTCTGCGCGGGCATCGTCGTGCTGCACGTCCTCAGCTGCCACAAGCACAACTCAAGCGGGCGCCACGCGTGCTATGCTCCCTGGTGGTGGACTTCTCATGCAAACCCAGCTTGTTCGGTACTGCTGGCTAGATCGTGGATTATTACTGCGGGCTGGTTTGGTGTGTGAGAAAAACATTGTTCAAGTTGAAAGACACTGTTTATGTGAACAGTACCCGCGTGAGAGGACTGGCCAGCACTAGTCAGCCAGCCGAACAGGCTGCAAGTGCTCGATGCAATGCCAATGACGAGCGTCAAGGTAAGTCTACAGCATGCTAATATAAAGTGACCAAATCTAACTATGCATGCAAATAAATAGGATTCCTATCTAACCCAACTCTGTAGAGAAATAGAAACACACACAGCAAGTTGCACCTGCTAGGAATGCTGCAAATCGGCAAACCGCCCGCTGGATCTCGCTCAAAGGGTCCGCTCCTGTTGCATTTTGCATCCGACAGTTACGAGACTCGGCATCGGGCACGCCAGTAGGAGCAAGACCGCGGCCGGGGGTCGCGCCCCAGCCCCGCCTGGTCACCTCGCGTACTCGGCAACGGCAAACGAGAAACGGGCGAAGGAAGAAGAGGCCCCCGGGAGCGCAGGGAGCGGCGGGCGGCAGCCAGCCAGCGAGTCTAGCCGAGCAGCCGCCGCACGCGGCCACGCGCATCGGCACCAACCCAAAGTTACACGACATAGGGGCAGGGGCACCCTCTTCCCCTGCCTCTGCCTCGCCCCGCCTCGCCTAGTCGCCTTTCTTTTCCTCTCGCTCTCCGCCTCCATCAGCTCGAGCCGCTTCCTTCCACCCACCACCTGACCTCCCTTCCCTTCCTCCCTCCTCCTCCTCCTCGTTCCCTCTCGGCAGGAACGCCGCGCGCCGAAGCGCCCGCTCCCGTTGTCTGCCTTGCTCGGCCCCGACGCCCAAGTCGAGGAAGCTCCTAGCGCCGACGTGGACGGCTGCGGCGGGGCGACCGGCGGTCGCCGAAGCTGACGCTGAACGGAGTGGAGGAGCGGGACGGCGGGCCGCGGCAGGCCAGGACTGGCGCCATGATACTACTGGGCTTTCGACGACGCGTGGCCCGCCAACTCGGGTCATCATCTCGCGATGCGCGTACGCATCGCGCGGTGCTGCCTATGTATGGGTGTCACTGAGCGCGTGCTTGTCTGATGGGCTTGGCAGATTCCGACGCTGACGACGAGGAGGAGGAAGGGGACCGCGAAGGCGGCGGCGGCGGGGGCTGGAGCGGGAGCGGAGGCGACGACGACTGCGACAGCCAGTCGTCGCAGAGCGACGGCGTGATGGACGAGTAAGTAAACCGTGGACCGCCCCCTCTCTCCCGTCTCCTCCGCTCTTCCCCGTCTCCTCCGCCGTCGCCTGCTCTGCCGCCCGTAGCGATTTGGCGGTGTCCTGTCGTCACGTCGCCGTGCGCCAGCTCCCGTTCGGCCGGAGGTGTCCAGTCCACCCGCCAGCTCTGGCGGCGGCTGCTTTCGCCGTGGTGACGTCGGCTCGAGCGTTCCCTTCGCCTCCGAGGCGTGGGATCTTCGTAGTGTTGTGGACCCGCGAGCCAGCTCGGGTTCGTCGTGGCGGACTGGCGGCGGCAGCGGCCGGCCACTTTGAGCTGTTCTTGTTCGGTCGAGCCGGCTGCGCTGGCGGTGTCCGCTTCGTTCCTCGCGGCGGTGGAATCGCTCCCATCACCGCCAGGGCCTGGGATCTTTCCGTAACATGCATGCTTTCGTCATGTCGCACGGTTCCGGAGGCGCCGTGCTCGTGACGGCAAATGCCGGCGGGCGCATCCGGGGTGGATCGTCGCTTGCCCAAGCTGTTCTGCCGGAGCCGCCAGCCACAGTTGAATCGGCCCTCTTGTTCATCGTGGTTCAGCTGCCTACTGGAACAGTTGGCTATTTTTCTTGCTCCTGAATCGTGTACGTCTACGGCGAACTCTTTCCTGTGCCCGGTTTGTCGCTGCTAGCCTGACCTCCAGGATCGCAATGGTCTTGGCGTCTTGGCATGCGTAGGCGACCGCGTGAGCCTCCTTGTGCACCCGTAGGCCCTGTTTGCTTCTCTTATGACGTCGGATGAGTGTTTTTTTCGGGCAACAAATCAGCCGGAACATCGTTTCGGCTTGTTTTTTCAGCGAAACGAATGGGGCCTGGCTCGTGGAGCCTACTTCTTGGGGGTGGGGGTGCGGGGTATCTGTTCTTCGTGTTTCCAGTTGTTGGTTGCAAGAGTTCATTTTTTTCAGTCATGGAGTGTGCTGTCAAGCTCGGAGTATCTGGCATTCTGTTCTACTGTTGCTATCCTGATTCCTGATCACCCATGACCGCGATAGTGCTTACCCTGTTTAGTGCTTAACTCAGTTTAGTGCAGAAACTTCTCTTGCTCTTTTGATATGTAGCATATGACCTCCTCTCCATCAGCTGTTTTGATGTCATCCCTTGCTGCCAAATTTTATAATGTTAACTATTTCTGATTTCTTACGTCTTTACTTATCATTTTTCACATTATACGGTTTACACCCTGCATTTCTCTGTCCTGCTTTTGGTACCTGATTACTTGTTAGAAGGTGCAAATCAGCTCCTGAATTGCTGTGAGATCAATACAGTTTAGTCACTGACGAATATCTTTTGTTACACATTATTCAGTCTGGATAATTTTGTAGCATATTTCTGGTAGACATCCTATTATTGTGGGTGGCTTCCGGATACTATAGGTTCATCGAGTCACCAATATATACTAGAATGCATTTTCTTCTTCTGCTTCTGAAATATGAGTTGGAATGCTTAAGAGTCCTCTCTGGGGTCCAATTACTGCTCAAGTGCTAATAGTATCAGTTTCCTCTTGAAAAAAAGAAAGAGGAAGGTGCTAATAATTTCAAGCTCTTTCCATCCTGTTCTGTCATTCTCTTATGCCATTGTGAACATCACCTTCTTCATGTCCTAGCTGTGTAATGATCTTGTGGTGGAGTTTGTGTTCCATAGATTGTGGATACATGATTGATGTGAAAATGGATAATAAAAGATCTGTCCTCGCTACGATCAAAAGTTTCATAGTGGTACCTGAATGTTTTTTAATACAGGTTTACACTTGTGAAATTAGTGGATGTTCGGAAGGAAGTGCAGTGCCCTATATGCCTAGGTAACAATATGCTTTGTCAACTTGCTTTTCATTTTCAGAGTTCCTCTTTACTTTTGACGGGTTCTCTTCTGATAACTTCACTTTCAATTGTAGTTAAATGTTACTGTTATCTCTAGTCAGGTTATTATTAGTATTTGCTACAAAAATACGAAACTGGCAAATTCCATAGGATACATGTGTGCAAGTATGTGAGTTGTTGTTATCTTCCAAAAATAAGGAGATGCACGTGGATTATGTATCTTTTTCTTTTAACTTTCAGAAAACCCTGAAAGTCAAAGCTCATCACATTTATAATATTTTTTTATGTGCTCCTAGTCCTAACTGGTTTACATTAGAAGCTAGGTTCTGTAAGCTTTTCATTTGTGAAACTGTAAGTAGCATTATGTGCAAAATGTGTGTGCCTGACCATCCGTCTCTGTTATGATCCTATTTTGCAGGAATTATTCGGAAGACAAGGACAGTCATGGAGTGTTTGCACCGGTTTTGTAGGGACTGCATAGATAAATCGATGCGGCTTGGGTATGGTGCCATATCTCATTTGTCTAATATGCCTTGTGCCAGTGCCATTTCTTAAAAAATGGAGTCCTAACCTGGTTGCAGTGTCAAACCCCTAAAAAATCTTCTATTCCATTATAATTTAAGTTCTGCTATCTGTTTTCAGAAATAATGAATGCCCAGCGTGCCGCACTCATTGTGCAAGTAGACGTTCCTTGAGGGATGATCCTAACTATGATGCTTTAATTCTAGCTTTATATCCAGACATTGATAAGTATGAGGAAGAGGTGATGTATAAGTTCTTCAGAAATCATGCTTTGCATTCTTTCTTTGGTTGTTTTCATCTTAGGTTGGTGCAGTGCCTCTAATTTGCTCGATACTACAGGAACTTGCATTCAGTGAAGAGGAAAGGACCTGTAACAAAAGGGTAGGTCTATTTGTCTGTTAATCAGCAATTTGTTTGAGGCTGGAGGACATGATTTCCCTTTCCCATTTTGTATTTTTGCTCTTATTGTTATTGACATTGGCTTCATTTCTCTTGTCAGATTCAAGAATCCATTGCTGAGACATTTCGGAGGCAAACTGAAGCACTTGTGAAGAAGCGCTCCACTGTAAAAGCAACAGACGCAGCTTCTACAAGGAAGACTCGACGGAATATGCGACCAAGGAGGAGAGGGCGAATTAGTTCTCCTGATATTGCCCCAACTGATTTTGATGATGAGGATAGAGAAGAAAATGGTGATGCTGGAAGCAAGGAGTCATCTTCTGTTGATGATCACTCCCCAGATGTAAGGCCAAAAAGAGCTCGGAGGTGGCCAATGCCACGTCATTCCCCTGCTAAGACCATTGGCAATACCGACAATAGCATTGAGGATAATGATGACTCAGGAGATGCTAGAGACTTTGTGACTGCTTCTCCGCTGCGGGGAGAGATGCTTGCATGGGGGAAAAATGGCACCCGCAGCCAAACTCGGCATGGCAACACCAGTGGCTCCAGTGGAAGGATGGGCAAGGGTGGCCGTGTTGCCAAGTTGGTGGATCAGCTCCGTAGTGCTGATGACTTCGATAGTAAGGTAAAAGGAAAGTACATTACATGCACCGGTTTCTAATTTGCTGCTGCAGTTTCCTAATTATACTTCAGAATGTTCATAATACTAACGTGCTGATGAATATGTTTGTTAGAAAGGCTAGCTGAGTAGCTGAGCTTGTACAGAAGTCAATGAATCATCAATTTGGTTTCCTAAACATTTTGTTTCTTTGTTGCAGTTGAACCTGTATCTTGTCCTACTTCCACTTGATGGGCAAAGTGTGCCTAAACTGGAAAAGCCCTACCTCAGTTGCCTGCCAACACTATCTGTTCAGCATCTCTGCCAGGTTGGTTCCATAAACTTTTTTTGTTGGCCTTGAGGGATTTAGTTTACCAGATGAATAAACAAAGGCTGTGCTCCTGCATCTTTCCAGTTTGTTGCTCTTCAGTTGTCTCGGCAACCCAAAGAAGTCGAGATATATATCAGGAAAAACATGGATGCATGCTTGTCAACCAATGACAGTAGTAAATACGAGACAAAGCCAGATCAGTCTAATGGTTTAGAGAGATTGTGGGAAGAGAAGTCTCTTTTGGATCTCTACCCTTCCTTCGCCACCCGTCAAGGAGTTCTGGTATTCTCAATCCCCAAATGACTGCTCAACCACTGCTATTTATTTCATCGTTTCTTCTTTTCTAAAGCTGCTGCGTTGTTTTCCTATCTACCCCAGGAATTGTTATACTCTCTGAAAGCACAAGGACAAGGTTAGATCAAACATGTGAAACCAGTTTTTCCTTCACTATCAACTCGATCAGTCGCATCAACGCCACGGTCTGCAAGGATCTTCAACTGGTGGAAGCTTGTACATAAGGCATTCGATATAGAAAAGGTCTGAAAGTAGCTTACTTTTTACTTGTTTTAAATTTGCTCTGATATCTTGTGAGGTATACCGTAATACCCAAGTTCATTAGTAAAATGTATGGAGTTAAGCAGCAGCAAACCAGCAATCTGAAACAGGCTGAGCAAAGCTATGTCTAGCTCTGTAGTCAGTATTAATTGTGTCCCATTTGAACTGATGCAACTAACTGAGCAACTCTGTCCCAAGATGATCTGTGGCTTGCTGTCGTCACCTTGTGTGCTGCGTTCGCGTAATCCATGTTGTCACGGCACGTGTCCGCGGATTAGAATATTTGATGAATCAGTTGTTACGACAGTAATGATAAACTAACTCGATGCATTATGGGTCTCATTGGTTGCTCACACAACACTTGCATTGCATTATGGGTTATGCAGCGTAGGCTATGCCTGTATAAGTGAATGCAATTTGCTCTTGTTTGGTTGGGTTGAATCACTCGGTTGATAGCTCTGCTATCGCCACCGTACGCCGCTGCCGCCACGCTAAGCGCGAGAGGCCCGCCTGACCTGCCGTATCCGTAGTTGCTGGCGCCGACGTGCAGGGTCCGCAGCTCGATGACATTGGTGAGGCCCTCCTTTTGGTGCAAGCGGGTGGTGAGGTGGTTGCAGTCGAAGCCGTCATTGGATCTCGCGACCGCGCTGGGCCCGTGCCGCAGCGGGCCGCGAGGGGAGGACATGCCGGCCGTAACTGGATCTCGCCGGCCGCTGTGAGGACGAAGCCACTGCCGCCGCTTGAGAGGCCGCGCGCCGCCACTGCGTGGCCGCGCACCCCCGTGTGAGCGCGAAGCCGCGAGATGTTGCAGAGCGGATGCAACGAGACTGCAGTGCGGATGCAGGAGCTGCAGAGCGGCTACAAACGCTAACCTGCATAGGTGGATACGTGAAAAATCGACCGAATAGTGGGATGCAGTCTGGTGCTCTGAGGAGAATGCTAGCCTGCATAATACTGTATGCAGGTAACCAAACAGACTAAGCTTGCACTACGCTAGCCTGGAGGAGGAGTTAGGCAGGCAAAACAATCAGACCCAATATATGCAACTTTTGTAGGGACAGTATTGGAATTTTATTTAGTACTCCCTCCGTTCTAAAATAAGTGTTCATCTCGTGCTTCGACGGTCAACAATCTTATGTTTAACTGGATTTGTAGAAAATAATATTAACATTTGAATCTCTAAATAGGTTTAGTATGAAAATATTTGACGTGATTAATTAATCTAAGAATACTTCCTCTATCTCTAAATAAATAAATTACTAGAGTTGTCTTAAGTCAAACGTTTTAAACTTTGACTAAATTTCTAAAAAACATCAAGTTTATGGTATTAAATTAATATCATTAAATATATCATAGAATATATTTTCACAATGTGCTCATTTTATATTATAAATGTTGTTACTCTTTTTAATAAAGTTAGTTAATCTTAAGATAATTTGGCTTGCGCCGGATTCTAGGAATAGATTTATTTAGGGACGGAGACATTATTATTTTGATGTCATAGTATTTTTTTTATTTCGTCAACCTTAAAAATTATATGACTCTTCGACCGAGACGTGCACCTATACGACGGAGGGAGTGCACCTATGCGACGGAGGGAGTACAATAAAGTTCACCGGTCGTTGCTGACCTGTGCGAAGCTGACAGGTCACGTTGCTCGCGCAGTCCACTAGCCATCCTCCGGTGTTGCTGGCTTGCTGCGCGCATTTCGTATCGGAATCAGGCAATCAGCAGGCCAGGACCCCGAGTTCAATCTGTCCGGTGGGGCCCAGTACCGCACAGGCCACGGCTCGAGACAGCGGACTTCTAGCTCGATCTGTCACTGGAGACTAGCTTGCGAGAGATAAAGGTCAATGTGGCAGAATAATTCGATGTACAGCTCATGACGGAATACTGCCGCTAAATTGGAAATCTTTTTTAGTTTCTTATAAGTCAAACGTGCTCAATTTTAGTTAAATTTAAAGATATAAATATATTAAAATCTGTAATGTTAAATAAATACACTATCAAAATATATTTCATGCTTTATCTAATAAATCTTTTTTATGCTATAGATGTTTGTATACCTTTATACAAACTCAGTTAAAACTGGAGAAGTTTGACTAAAGACAAACTCAAACGGCTTGCAGTTTAGATTGAATGGGGTACTTTATAATTTCCCTGAAGTCCTAAAAAGATATAGAGGATCAACCTCCGGATCACAATGAGTAACACAAAGTAGACTTTTGGAATATGACTAAGGTACTAACACAAAAGTAACATAAAAGTTTTTAAATTTATCTACTTACTAAGGTACTAAATAATTTGTAAGAGATTTTGATAGTGGTTTTGGCCTCAGAAAAAAAATACAGCCACGGGGTATCATATGAGGGATAAAAAACAAAGAGGAGGGAAGGAAACAACAATAGCTTTAAACTAAGGAAATGATTGACAAAAAAGTTCGTGTCTATGGATACAATGCGACCGCATGGAGCGACAACAATTACAATCAAGAAAGAAAACAAACTAAAATGTTTGACAAAAAAAAATATTCTAGATAAATATCCAAATGTTACAATAAAAAAATGTAGCTATCTGCACTATTTGAGCGGACCATTTTTGCTAGTTTTCTAGAATGGCATGTTTTTTTGAGACAGAGGTGATATATAGTAAACACTCAAGACTTTACTTGAACAAATGGTTCTTCTTTGGAAATAAACAAGGTCACTTTGTACCCCTCACAAAAAGTCGTATTTTTAGGCTATCATAACAACTTTGAGTTCAGTTTTGCTCTTATTTCACAAAAGGACGGAAAACCCTTCTGTCAGTGCATCAAACAAATCTCAATTTTCATCATTTTAGTTTACAATTTTTAAATAACTGGACGCATGTTAAAAGATCTCAAAGTTTAGGAGCTACAATAAACCATTTTTAGTTGATATTTTAAAAATAATTTACTAAAAAAACATTTTTAGATCTAACCCGTTTTGTCGCACCAGCTCATATCACGCGACCAAATCACACGTGCCACATGCATTGATACAATAAGGTTGCCATGCTGGCATTGTAGATCCGACATGGCCGTAGTTGTCGCACTATTTCTTTTGGCGTGGCAAAGTAGGTTTGTCGTTCTACTCCATTTGGCATGATAAGGAGGACACCTAGCCAAGACTCGTTTCAATTACCTTTTCTATCCATCACAACAAATAATTTGTTAGAATTTAATTTCACTAAACTAAACATATATGTTTTATGTGGTGTAAACAACCCATTTTAGTCAACTACGATTTTGAAATATATAATTTTAGAGTAGGTCATTTGCTATTGTTTTGTTACAATTTCTAAGTGGGGGAAATAATTTCACTTGTTCACTTTCTTCGACCGCGTTTAATTATTTAATGAGCCCTCCAAATTTTAATAGAACGTCCCCCCCACCCACCCACCCACCCAAAATTTTTTTAATAGAACGTGGTATGTGATGTAGTTGTTCCGTTTTAACTGCAATCACACTATTTAAGTCGTTCTACATCTTTGTAGATTTTTTAGCGTATAATTAAGTCGTTCTTTATTTAATTTAGTGGTTTGAAAAGTACAATCTATTTCAAAAAAAAGTTTTAACTCTTAGAAACTAAAGTGACCCATCGTAGTAATAACATATGACCTACTTTGAAATTAGATATTTTAAAATATATACCCCCTCCATCTCATCTCAAATTATAAGTCATTTTAACTTTCTTGAGAGTCAAAGCATTTCATGTTTGACCAAATTTATATAATAAAATAATAACATTTATGATACGAAATAAGTATTATTAGATTCTTCATTAATTATATTTTCATAGTATATATGTTCGATGTCATAAATCTTTGCAATTTTCTCTATAATTTTGGTTAAACATGAGATGCTTTGATTTTTTAAGAAAGTTGGAATAACTTATAATTTGAAATGGAGTGAGTAGCTTTTAACATGCCACTGAAATGGAACATTTACACTATGTATGGTACACACGTCGATAATTTCGAGTCCGGTTCCTGATTTATTTAAAGGGGAGAAAATGAATTGTGAAGGGTACACGACAACCTACCACGCTAAGCCATATCTGCCTCAATCAAAATTAAATAAGTTTAAACATATGACAAATAATGATGTGACTGCAATTAAGGTCCATTTCGGTTTGCTGAAACTGACTGTAAAACACTGTTCTGGCTGAATTGTTGTGAAAGAAAAACACTATTCCGGCTGAAAAAAGAAGCCGAACAAGCCGGCTTCTGGGTAAGCCGAACGGAGCCTTCCCATGCTGCATTGTATCAAATTTTGAGAACATTTAGGGCTAATTAACTAATTAAATTTGAGTGGAGAAAGAGAGCAAGTGAAATTGTTTCTTCTAACACTTGTAAACGCTGTAACCAACAATAGCAAATGGTCTACTTTATAATTAGATATTTCAGGATGTATATAGTACTTGGTCTTGTGCGGGTCACCAAAATTAGATATTTCAGGATATAAAAGATAATTGAAAAACTGAGCTTTGGCTAGAAGTCTTCCCTTGTCACGCCAAACGGAGTGAGGCAAAAAAAAAAGTTTTTTATTACGACAAATGGAAAAGTGTGACGAAAATGCCCACGTTAGATCTATGAGTCATATATCAATGTATGTGGCACGATAACGTGATTTGATCGCGCCACGTGGAAACAATTTTTGATGTATTATTTTAAAATATGAATTAAAAATAGGTTAAAAACAAAAGAGTGAAATGACCGCGAGTCTCTAAACTTTCCTCATCATATTCCTATCTTGGTCCATAAACTCTAAAATAATCATCTAAATCCTACAACTTTTCACGTAATTTGTTCAAAGTGTAATAAATTCAGGTTTATGAATTATCTAGAGTCAACTTAGCCCCGTTTGAATACATGGGATTCTAAGAATCTGGATAAAAATTATCAAAATCCTAATATATCATCCAAACGGTCTAGATTTTAAAGAGATTTTATCTTATATATTCTTAGAATCCCAAAACTGTTGTGATTTTTTATCCAGGTTCTTAGAATCTTATGGGATTAAAATGGGGCCTTAAAACGAGTCACTTAAAAAGTTAAAAGTACCCAAATTTAAGACTTCATGAGCCTAGATGAGAATGCTAAAAAAAGTTTAAGAAGTCACCGTGCATTTACCTCAAAATAAAAATAAAAATCACTACCCGGACGCCGCTAAAGACAGACGTTGCAAAGGAAACAGGCAAAATAAAGCCAAAAAGGCATATTCCGAACTCCTCACCGGTCACCGCGGAGTGCACCCTTTCTGTACCAAATTATAGGTCGTTTTGGCCACAGAGTATTCAGGTCTGTCCAGCGCGCGAGTGCGCCGCCGCCCTCGGCCCCCCGCCAGCCGCCGCTGAGATGTTGCCATCGCTGGTGCGCGCGGGTAGCGCCCCTCTCCGCCGCGTCGTCTCCACGTTCTCCTCGACCCGAGCCGTCTCGCCTCGCGTCCCGTACGCCATCAGTAGCGGCGGTAACCTCAGCCTCCCGTTCAATGCTCAACCCTCGCCGTCCCGCGACGGCTCGAGCGGTCCGGCTGGTGCAGCCCGGCGAGGAATGGGCTTCTGCGCCCGCGCGGTGGACGTCGGGGACGAGGCAGCCTCCAGCTCCGCCGCCGCGGGCTCGGACCTCTCCGCGCCTTACCTCTCCGTCCGCATTCGATGCCGCAGGCACGACGTGGTCAGTACCTCACGCTCTCCCCGCACTTCGTAGCCACTTCGATTCCTTGTCCTTCACCTTCACCTCCCACGAGTAGTTTCAGTGTCTCATGCATCTTTTTTTTTTCCCGAATGACATTGCGAAACAGGAAGCACTCTCCGAGGCGCTCTTGTGCTTCGGTGCTAGCTCCGTGACCGTGGATGACATTGCCGATGCTGAAAATCTCGATGAAGTGAGCATTGTGCATTGTGAATGATTACTATTCTATTTCTGCTCACATGTTTAGCTGCAATCGATTGGGGTAATTCGAGCCCGCACAAAATGTTGATGATTATGCAGATCTCCATAACTTCCTTATATGCCGATGGGGAAGACGTGGACTCCAGCGTATCAAGTGCCGCAAGCTCAGCTGGTTTGAACTACAGCCCAGTGTATGAAACCTCTGTCGGGAAGCAGTGCGATTGGGTGGCAAATGTGCAGGTTAGGACCTAGAGGTTGTATACAGTATACTTTTCTTGTTCGTGACCTTTGAAGGACAATCTTGCTCCTGTTTCCTAACTGTCACATACAGTCAACAAGAAAAATCTTTTTGCTCATGAGTTTTACTTATATCAGGACTGTTTTCTTCCAGTAACTTTTGGCTTTTATAACTAGTAGGAGTATAGCTCTAAGCTGGGTTAGGCATACTATTTATGAGATCCATTGTGTTTAACCTGAGTTGGGTAAACGGTTGTTGCTTGAACAATACAGTACTTGAAAAGATTACTCGTGATTGCTGCAGGAAACATACGAGCCCACTGAAGTGGCTGATGGCCTTTGGGTTGTTCCTAAATGGAGAACTCCCCCTGTATGTCTTCACATCATACTGTCTTTAGTTTTTTTTTAAAAAAAAGATCTTGAGGAAGTTGCTTGATTTTTCTTCCCTACACTGAAAATCTCGCTGAGCTGATAAATTTCTCCTTTTGTTTCTTCTCATCCTTCCATTGATAGGATCCAGAGGCCACAAACATAATCATCGATCCGGGTTTGGCTTTTGGGATGGGGGAGCACCCGACAACTAAGCTGTGCCTTCTATTTCTACGAGAAGTTATTAAAGGCGGTGAACGTGTCTTGGATTATGGAACAGGCACAGGAGTATTGGGGATTGCAGCTTTGAAGGTTCCCCATGTGTTTAGTTTTTACCTCTGACAAGTATCATGATAAGAAGGCAGTGTTACCCTATTTCACACTCATTGTAGCTTATGAATGCAGATGGGTGCTACTCAATCAACTGGGATAGATATTGACCCTCAAGCCATAACCTCTGCTTCAGAAAACTTGTTGCTGAATGGTTTACATTCGAACCAAATGCCTGTTTATTTGGTACCAGCAAATGCTCAGCCTTCATGCTTTCCGAGTGCCATTGACAAATCAGAAGACCACCACTCAACCAATTACCTTGACTTGAAGTTGTCAAGAGGAACTTATGATGTAGTTGCAGCAAATATCCTTCTAAATCCCTTACTGGAGCTGGTTGAGGACATAGTTGGTTATGCAAAACCTGGTGGAATAATTGCTGTTTCTGGAATATTGGAGGAGCAGGTAAAGAAAATTGACTATAGTAGTTTTCTTAAAGTTTCATGCCATCCAGGGTTTATTTTGTTTTTTGTCAGATTATTTATGATTTTTTTTTTGTCTCATCTAACCCAGGTGTCAAAAATCAAAGAAGTTTACTCAAGGTATTTGGACAGAATATTGGTATCCGAAATGGATGGGTGGGCCTGTCTTCGGGGAACCAGGAGAGTGTAGAGGAATTAAGTACTTCACCGCGTTCAAGAAGGGTTTTGACCTTACATGTTCTGACGACAAAGAGAGGTTTTGCTCTATAAATAAGAAATTTAACCTCTTGGCATTTCGTGACAAGATTGCATGAATATCATAGAACAAAATGTGTTGGACTACGAAGGATGTCAAGTGTATGTCTTTGCACCGCATTAGATATCGTTTTTAGGAATATAATCTTCATAGTGATCGCATGATTAAATGTCATTTTTTTAATATTGTGATTCCCAGCTATTGAGATTTTTTTTTCAACAAGAGGATGTCCCCATTTCCATTTATAGAGAAACAGAAATACAAGAATTTGGTAAAAGAAAGGAGCAGGAAAGAAACAGACAACCAGCTCTTTAGCAAACTGAACTGTCTGCGAGTTAGAAAGCTAATTGAGTTTACCAGACATAGGACCCAGACTACCAGAAGAAGCAGGACGAGCAAAAAGCCTCAATCACATTTTGTCCATAAAGAGAGGCAGACCACAGCTATTGAGATTGTACCTCTGACTATTACCCTGGTGCTTGAGAAGCCTATTTTATCATATTTGATTGACTGTACACAGCATTTTCAGGCCTTGAGAAGGCCTCTAACTGTTCATAGCACAAGAAATAGGTGCTAGCCCCACGTACGCCTGATTTACACAATAGCGTCAACCGTGAAGTGACGAATTGATGACATGTTTTATGCCACCATTATCAACTGGGATATCATGTAGGATAAATGTTGCCTCTGATATCTTGGATGAAAATGTTGCAAAGTGTTGTAGGGTATCACAACCTAGCTTGATTTTCATTGTTAACGGCTTTAACAGCCTATACTAGGTGAACACACCACGCTCAGGCATATAATTACAAAAAGGGCAGATATTATCCTTCCCAACTAGTACAAGAATTGGTAGTTGTCATTTCCAATTGTAAAAACTGTTCCTATGTAAATTTATTACATTCCCAGTGGCATCATTGTGCCTTAAACCATCTGTAAATAAGCTCACTGTGCTCTGATAACTCCTTTTGTGCTGGCAAATTCTGGGATCAAACGTCTCATACAAAATTCTGGGAACAAAACCATGTATGAACTTGTCCGTGTTAGAATATCTCCTTGGTACTTGTGTTAATCATTGCTGGTCTTTTATTAGTCCTAGGTACTTGTGCTAATTACCCCTAGTCCCCTAGCTGTATGCGCAGCCTCCCAGGCTGGCTTGGCCCTTTGGGCTTTCCTGTATTCCCTATATATATATGTAATCCCTCCTGTAAATCAATCTCAAGTAGTACAAGCCTGTTGGCCTTCCTCTAATAGTCCGAATGCTCCGTTACAAGGTCTTTGCCCAGGAAAAAAAAAGTACAGCTTTAGCCTTTAGCTAACAGCCTGTCATTTCTTCAGGTAATCTGAACCCTGTTCAATGTTTCCCCCAACAAAGCAACTTCTGCACTCCACGACCCAAGTTTTGAAATATTTTCCTTGTATAAGAATTCCAGTGGATGCAATCTATATTTTGCTGGGAGTGTTACCGAAAGAGTTCCTTCAGATCTACACTAGATTTCAGAGCTTGTTGCTTATCACTAAGAAACTTAGAGAACTCCAAGACCTTTTCCTCTTTGCCTTTTTCTGGGGAGCTACTGACAAATGGGGATGATGATGGTGCCAACGCCCAAACTGATGAGAGCACTTCATTTGGTTTGTCCAACTGCTCCAAAATTGCGAGCTTTCCAATTGCTGCCAAGAAAGGAAATGCATTCCTTATTCTTTATATGTACTCAAAAAGGTTTTGATATCATTAATATTGACTAAGGGCTTGTTTGGATGTACTCGTATCCACCTCAATCCACATGTGTTGGAGTGGATTATGGTGGAACTTAAACTATTTTCCACTCCAATACACATGGATTGAGGTGGCTACAAGTGCATCCAAACAAGGTCTAAAGCTGAGAGCAAAAAAAAAAAAAAGAGAGCAAACTTAATTAGCACCTGAATACTTGAAGACCGCAACCAGTAATTTGCAGGGGATGCTGAAATTCAGATGAGGTATTGTGCTTCCACCACCATGCTTAGCATTACTGGATATGATAACAAAAATAATAATAAGTCAGAAAAAAGACAAGCTCTTCGGAAAATGCATACTTCACCATTCTTCTAATGTGAAAATGAATGACACGAAGTTCTGCTTGCAAGTAGCAGGAACACCAAGATGGTTTCAGCATATATTCATCAAATGGTACATAGCAACATAAAAGATAGAAAGTTGATACAGTCGATGAAATGGCAAAATAACTTGATGAACTTCAAAAGGTTCTAGTTAATGTCTGTAGGGCTTCAAAAAGGTTCTATTTTATACCTTGTTATTATCCCAACCATTTGCCCATGTGAATTAACAAGAACGCCGCCACTGGCCCCTGGATGAACTGCTGCTGTTGTCTGCAGCATTACTGGTATGTCCATATTGTCAGTTTCCAGAGCACTCGCCAGATGAGAGAGTTGATTTGATGGGATTTGGACAACCTTTGACACAACCCCCGAGGATAGAGAAGAGGATAGGCCTACATTCAGATACGCAAACATCAGTTCCATAATAACAAAACTCAACATTTGCAATGGCATGCACATTGATCAAAATAAGTACTCCCCCCGTTCCAAATTATAAGGCGTTTGGCTTTTCTAGATACATTATTTTTACTATGCATCTAGACATAGCGTATATCTAAGTGCATAGAAAAAGCCATGAATCTAGAAAACCCAAAACGTCTTATAACTTGGAATGGAGTGAGTATCAAACTGCTCTAAGCACTAATTTTAGCTGTGGTTCTAAGATTTTTCACCTGATCGGGGTCCAAAAAGGCCATGCCCAACAACATAAACAGATGACCCTGCTGTTGGGCAAACAAATTCTGGTCTGATTGTATTTAATTCAATTGGAACCTTATCTATTTGAAGCAATGCAACATCAAGTGGACCCTTTGAGATGAAAACCACGCTAGCATTGCACCATATCTGTCTCTCTGCATGGTCCAAACGAACAGATATTCTCTTCTCTCTTTTGAAACCCAAGTTAAACAATGAAACGTTATGCTTGACAGCATCTTCATTGGAAAATTTGCCTTGTGGCCGCAATGATTTGTTTTCTCCAGCATTGAGATGTTCTCCAGTGAATGAGGCTTGTAAATCTGAGGGTGAAGTTCTCCCAAATCTCCAAGGTTCCAAGAGATGAGCATTTGTCAGAACTAAACCCCTTTTGTTCAGAACAATCCCTGAAGCCCAAGATGTATCACCAACCGTGACAAGAACAACTGCAGATATAGCCTCTCTGAGCGAAGGGGGTGATATGCAATGCTGATTAATTTTGTTGACCGTAGAAGAGACAAACCTCCCATAGTTGTATGCATGCCGTAATTCCATAGATTTACTATCCGTATTTTTGTCATTAGGTAGTTCTCTTGGGGCACGTCCAATTTCCTCCAGTTTTTTGCTGTTCCATTCCGTGCATATTGCATCCCATGTAATCACGAGCTGGTAAGTAGATTTTAAGATAGCTAAGTTACATATATTAGATGTGCAAAGGTATCTTGTTGAAACCAGTGAACTCACCTGAACTTCTATATTGCTGCCTTTCTGTCTTAATGGGTTCATCAGCAGCCCCACAAGGCAAGAATTTTTGTCAAACACTGGAGCGCCTTCCATGCCTTTGGTCAATTTAAGAGATTGTCAATAACTAATGTCATACTATACAAGAAAAGAAAGACAGAAAGATGTTTACCAGGGAGACAGTAGATGTCGGCCATCAGCAATGAGTTCCTCGCAGTGCATGGAGGAAGGCAATTCGCAACAGCACCAACTGATATACTGCTCAAAAAGCGCATATGCATACAAATAAATAGGACACTCTTATTCTGTTTTCTAATAATGGTAGCAAAAGAAAATAGTCAACAATAGCATGCCAGGCCTTGTCAGTTTCAGAAACATCAATATCTAGTTAATGCCTTCCAGGTCACCAGACATACCGGGAACAAACACAACACAACAACTGTATATGCTTTGGAAGATGTAGTGATGACGTGCAAAGCAAAGAGTTACTAAAACTCTAGATAGCAAAAGTTTAACATTTTCTCCATAATGCATATGGAACAGTATCAAGTTTTAAAACGTCTGGAGTACCATTACATAAGTAAACATTATGAACGCCCAGAATATGTTCTTGTCACCAAATCAAAATGTTCGACAGGTTGCATGTGCTAAATTCTGGTGCATACTTAAATACATTCTGGCATTCTGCTAAAGCAGTAGAATAAAAGTTACCTGTTGAAGAAATGGAAGGGTGACATGAGGCCAAATGGAGATCCTACAATAAGCAAAGGGTCCCCTCGTTGTTGCATCACTGAAACATTGATACGTCTTGCATCCTGTTCACCAACGACCAAAGAGTACTAAGTACACACACACACACACACAAAAAAAAAAACCTACAGCTTGCAACTTTCAAAGTGCTAAATTTTTAGGAAAGGAAAAATTTGTCGACCTGCGCCTTACATTTGAGTTGAAGGTTGGAATTCCTAGAATAGCAATTCTTGTGGCAGACTTGGACAACATCAATGGGTCTACTGACTCAATAGATGCATTATTCCTGTTAGACTCGAGGGAAGATCTGGTATCATTTTCAACCTGATAAATTCTAACAATAAGTTTTAATGCAATACAAACGAGGGACAGCAGTTTAATACTTTGATTCGATGAACAAAGAGACCTGTTTCTGATTAGCATCGGCCAATGACCAGCCTACATCCCATGTTGGTCTTCTGATGAACTCTTCATGCCTCAGTAAGGATAAAGCAGAATCAGCAGCTGTCGGGACATCAACCTACAGAAGAAATCAGGCTTCCGGTCGATCATGTATGCGTAAGTATCAAGGGTGAAGACTAACCAAAACCTACAAATGTTATCTTACCATACAACAGAAGCATGTATTTTCTTCTGTTAAGTACAGTGTACAGATGCAAATCACTAATAACTAAGGAAAAATGTGGTTCACCTTAGCTAATGCAAAAAAAGAAAGGTACTCGTAATGAGGATATCTAAACAAACTCCCTCCTTACTGATCTTAGTTTATTCCTAATGAGCAGCCCAAAGCCAGTCTTAAATTCTTAATATAGGTCATTGCCTCATTGGTACGATGACACAGGAGATGTCAATGGCAAGCCAAGCAACTCTTCTTAACAAAATGAATTGATAGCAGCTACTAAAGGTTTAAATATTTTTAGAACACTGGAATTTTTTTTTTGGAATCATAGTTTAATCAAAACCAATAAGGGCCGCTCCAAATCACAGTTGCGCAGCTCCTTAAACTGAAAGTAAATGCACATGGTGTGTAAAACTTAAACTTTTAAGTCCAATTGGGCATCACCTGTTTCCAAACATAGAACATCCTCACAATCTAAATGGACTCAAGAAAAGAACCACCTTTATCTTGTAATAACATATCAATGGCTGCTATTTTTTTCATGCATCTGTTAGTAACAATATAAACTCACTCCCTGGCTGCATCTATTAGTAACACTATGGCTGAAAAAGTTAGAGTACTGACCATGGCAAGCAATCGAGCTGGAAGGCACCGTGGAGGTCCAGACTTCCCATCTTGAGCATTCCCCAACTCATGCTGCACACATCAGAGCAAGTTCAGGAATTCAGAAAAACCTTCCTGGTTTTGAAACTAGTACTAGTATTTTGGAAGTTACAAGTTCCTTAGCATTAGCTCATTACTAGCTACATAGTTGGGAACTGGGATGTAATTGACACACTTCCAGCAATTATCATTGTGAGTCTGCTTAACTTTCTTCGCAAAGAGGCACTTTAGTTGGGAACTGGGATGTAATTGACACACTTCCAGCAATTATCATTGTGAGTCCGCTTAACTTTCTTCGCAAAGAGGCACTTTACTGATTATGGTTGATTGAATGCTAAGCACGAACTCCACACCGATGCTTATCCTTACCTCAACAAGCACATCAAGACGCACCTCCGGAACCAACCTCGGCTGAAGCTCCTGGAGGCATCCAATTCCAAACGAGCAAGCAAACAAAAGCTTAGCACTAGAAAGAGTGATTATACGGTGCTGTGACACTGGAACCTACCTACCTCGCCGGAGTTATTGCGCTGCTCCGCGACCAGGAACGGCTCGACGAGGGAAGCAGCCGTGAGCGCGACGTCTCCTGCCGCGTGCCCGTGGGCCGCGCAGATATGGTCGAGAAGTGGCGGCGGCTCAGCCAGGGCGCCCCGCGGCAAGAGCAGAGCCGACGCCGAGAGCGTGGTGGACCCCGAACTGCAGCCCAAGTTAGCACGGAGCTTTAGGAAAGCTCGAATTTGTCGAGTAAAATATCGAATCGGGGAGGGGGGGCGTACTGGTGGAGGTGGAAGGCGTGGCGGCGCATCTTCACGGCCTTGGGGTCCTGGAAGCGGAGACGCCGGAGAAGGGGAGAAGCACAGCGGTTAGCGAGATAATTCGGAGGAGTTGAGCTGGTGATGGTGCGAAGTCGCAGACTAACCGGACCGACGATTCGAACCATGGCGGAGAAGTGGCGCGCTGCCGCGGCGATCTCCTGGGCTTCCATGGCGCGGAGGGAGGGGGGAAGGGCGAGCGAGGAGACCCCGAGGAGAGCTGTATAGCAGATAGTTTGGTACTTCGGCTGCTTTTCCTAATTCCGCCAAGGCTCCGTTGGATCCATGGAAATAATAATACTAGGTCCGTTTCAAATCAAATTATAAGAACTTCTGACTTTTCTAAATTTATTATCTTTGCTATACCTAAGTATATATAAGTATATATATATATTAAAAGCTATGTATATCTAGAAAACCCAAAATATTTAATAATTTAGAATGGAAAGAGTACCAGCTAATAATTAGCTCCTTGGATTTAAATAGGTCTAAGTAATAATTTAGCTAATTGTTAGCTGTATATCAAGTAATAACTATTTCACTAATTGAACCACACTAGCTAATATAAGTTTTGAACTATTAGTAGTTAAATAGCACAAGTGCCCGTGCGTTGCAACAGAGTCAGTTTCTAACTTCTATTCGACTCGCCATTCCCACTTGGTGATGGTGGCCTTGAGCTCGTCACACGGTAGACGGGGTGATGGGGACAACGACAGTGCAGTTGGCTGTGGAGGAGGCGGAGCCGCATCGAAGGTGCGACCGAGGTAATTTGGTGGCTGCAACAGAGCTAGGCCCCCCTCACCTACGAAGGCTAGGGTCAGGGGACTTGCCCGCTGCCATTTTTGATTGAATATTGCAAGAAGGAGATAGGTAAGGCGCTGACTTTTTCGGAGATAGAGCACAAAGACTACGGGAGAGGAGGCCAATGGGTGCACATAGTTGTTAGGAACGGATCAGCAAAGCCCTCGATTAACGGTTTGCTTAGTCCACTCGATCGAACCGCCGGCATAGTATGGCTAATAGAGTCAAAATTTCATACTTTGACACAAACCAACTACATGGTGTAGTGGAAAAGGATGAGTTTTTTAACCTACAGGTTGTGAGTTTGATTCCTCTCTGTATGCTTTTTTTCTTCTATTCTATTTCCTCCAATTTGTCTTTTATGTGCACAACCTCCTCACTATTCTATTTCCTCTAATTTTATCCTTCATGTGCACAACCTACACAGACCGGACTTGACTTATGAGGAGGGGCGTGTGTATCGCGGTCGTCGTAGTGAGGTGCGCCGCCGAGATCCTGCAGTGCATGGGTGGCGTGAGTCGCGTGGTTGAAGCCCTTCCCCGAAGTGTGGGTGGCACGAGCCGTGTCGATGAAGCCCCACCCCCAAACCTCCTGCTTCGTGTGTGCGCCCTAGGGTAGTCACGATCACGGCAGGGAAGTTGCGCATGGGCAGGGGGAGTTGCGCGTGGGGGAAACGACGGCGCAAGCGGGGAGAAGGCGAGCGTGTGGGGAAGAAACGATCGGAAATTGTCCTTTGGGGGCTTGGCCTGGAGCAGCCCCCCAGGAATGGGTGCCGGAGGGAGGATTTTGGGTGCTTGAGTAGGGGCCCTGCGGAAGCTGTGTTTTTGACCTGGACACCCATATTTAACTACGGGGACTCATTGCTTTTGAGGGAGATGTAGAAGGATGGGCCAGACTTTCGGACTCTGATGAGTGGATGCGGAAGTGAGCCTATATCAAGTGATGACTTGGAGGTGAGCGAGTGGTTGGGTCGTTCTGACGAGGGGGGTGCGGAAGCAAGCCTGTAGCGCGAGCCTCTAGCGTGTGACGACCAAGAGGTGAGCAAGTGGTTGGGCCATTGGGAACAAGGGTTGGGTGGGGCTAGATGTAAATTATTAGGTAGTGAGAAATTTGATCTTTTTAATATTACAACAGTGCGTTGCAACAGAATTATGGAAATAATGCCGATAATGGTACACATATATTTATATTTCATTATTATTTTATATACAATTTAAAAGCTATATTTATCTATGATCACCATGACATCTATAATATAAGTAAATGTTATCAATATTATATACCGAATTAAAATACAATCTTAGTATATTTTTTTTTTCTGTAAAGACAAAAAATATTTATTCATCATAGATATATATAATAACACATAACTTCAATTTTCAATATTATCCAATTGTTTGATTAGTTAGAGCATCGATTGATCTAATTTTAATAAAAATATGCTTTTTAAATCGTAACTACGTCAACAAATTAGCAATGGAAAGAGTTTTTTCGATAAGAAAAGCTTTATTAATTTCAAGATCGTTACATCAAGATGATACAAAGACCTTGAAACACTTCCGGCCTCTGTATAACAAGGATACACACAGCCTTACAAAAGATCTTAAAACAAAAAGGCACACTAATAACGCTCAATCCGAAGACTAGACTGCCACCCATGTGCCCGGGTAAAAAATTCCTTGGCCACGTGCGCCAAATGTTGAGATGCCGCTACAACCAAATCTTGCGAAGTTGGCTTCTGTAGGACACCGCGAGTTGATTGCAGCTATTATCTGTTTCATATATATATGAGAAAAAATATATAGGACACCGCAAAATGTATAAAAAAGGAAAAAAGGGCATGTTATGAAATCGGATTCCGTGTAGAAGCACAAGAAGAAAACCAAATCTACAGAAAAAAAAATCAGACACGGTGTGCTAAAGGGAAAAAAGTAACAATCGCATTGGAAAAAAAGAAATAGTTATGGACTCTGGGATGGTGATGGACTCCAAATTCCAGAAGTGGATGGAAAAATCTAAAAAACGGAATAGCATGGGAGGAAAATATTTATTTGACAGCTTATGAGTCCGGATCACATACATGACACAATATGTTTTAGAATCGGACTCTGTATCGCGCTAGACAAGAGCTATTCTAACACATGTGAGCATGTTTATATATATAAGTCCGGACAGGAAAAACTCTCCATCGTCTGGTAGGTAGGGGGAGGTGGACGAAAATATAGATGGGCGAAAAAAATGACCAAAAATTTTGTTTCTTTATTGTTGGGTATAGATATAGATATAGATAATGGGTTCAAACATGGCCTTAATTAGAAAACCCTATTAACGTCAAAAGCATGACATCATACTAATTGAACTCTTAAAATCAAACAAATACCCAATACGACATTTTAAAGTGGTTTTCAAGATAGTTTTGCTAAAAATTAGATATCACATATGTAAACTCTTAAAACCAAACAAATTAATCACTAAACGGTCTAAAATTGTTTTTAATGTGATTTTGCTGACATGGCATGCCGGTGCCACATATCAAAACCCTATGTGCTCTTTTTATTCTGGTATTGAGCCAAGCCACCTGATTTTTTTGCTACAACACGCATGCATATCAAGCCCACCTTTAAGTCTCTCTTTCTCTCCATGCATCTTCCTCTATTTATATCCATCATTAGTCATTGCTAGCTGGTCCCACCTATCATCCTTGTCCCCTTCCTGTGACCTTGAGTGCTGCCATGAGGAGGCTAGGCGGAGATCGATGAGGATAAGATACAGTGGCGAAGGAGAGGGCACTTGTTGCCTCCTGGAGTGGGGCAAACATCACATGACTGTGCTCACCATGGCCTATGGCTCTTAATTTTAGGTTCTACGACAACACTACATGATCAGGAAGTGACCACTAGGTACTAGTTAGAGGGAACGAATGGTGGGGTGAGTTAGCAAAAACTGCCCCCGTTTGTTTCGCTGAAATTTGATGCTGATTTGTTGCGAGAGAAAAACACTGTTCCTTTGCTGAGGAGTATTGTTGAAGTAATGCTGAAAAACAGGGCGACTATCTCGAAAACCATTGCCACAAGGGGATGTTTGGTTTTAAGAATTTAGGGGAGGGGTGGTGGTGGGGTGTTGATGTCTGCTTTCATAAAACCCTCTATGGAAACTACTTTGAACTGTTGTTTGGGGGGAGTAAGTTGTATGATTTTGAAAGTTTTTTTATGATGTCAAATTTTCATGCTCAACAAGATTTTCAGACTCTTAAACAAGTTCACGGGCCAAGATAGAGTCCACTTTAAAAAAAATATGACAAATAGGGACGTCACACAACGAACACACATGGTCGAACTTTAGAAACACATGCACATGAACACCCACCTCTTCAAAGTCTCCAAGAGACTTTTTCAATCAAATAAAGTCACCTCAAACTATTTTTTCAATGAGTATGTTATCTACAACTAAATTATGGAGATTTGGATAAGTTCTACTATAGAAAACCCAATAGAGGTATATTGGTAATTTGGTGTAATTATCATATAGTTAGTCTCAAGCTTATAGTTAGTCTCAAGCATTGCCACATGATTTGAGATAACTTAACTAAATTATGCAGCCTGTTTGCTTGATCGTTTCTGCGGCTTATAAGCTGGCTGATGCTGTTTTGTTGTGAGAAAAAACACTGTATCATAGTTGATAAGCATGGCTAATACGATCAAGCGAACAGGACGCATAGTAACGAATTGACTTTTAATTGGCTCGTAGTAACTCGATAATTCATTGATTTGTACATAGATAAAGAAAGAAATGTTACAAGTCGAATCACAAATTGTCAACAACACTCGGTCCAATTATGCAAGAGCCATCTTATAGTCCTAAATTTTAGCTTTATGATGCAGCTTTGCTTCATAAAATTACGATATCCTTCTGTCACCTCCCTTTTACTTTCCCTGCATCACGGAAAACCTACGTAGCATTGTCATAAAGTGTACAAATTTTATTGCCCAAGCCTGTGTTCTATATAACTTTGTATATGTACATATTTGCTATTATATATTTATTAGGTGACCGATATATTCTTTTTGCCGTAGTAACAAGTGGAACTCTCGATGTCAATCGTTATACTACAAAACATTTGATAAGTTGTAATCTTGTATCGCAGCTACCACATTGCTTTGGATCATTTGATGTGGCTAGGGCACGTGCATACGTGTTTGGATGCGTACCAAGCCTAGACAACTGCAGCTACGCAGCAAATCCACATTCCAACCTCTCTATCTATCTCTATCTCTACTTTTTTTTTCTCTACTAAAGAGGTAAAATTTCAGCCTAAATTTAGGTCTGGATTTTTTTTTGTCGGGCCTCCCTAGCTTCTTATATGGACGGTGGA